CAGCTTCAGAAGGGCTGCCTTTTCATGAGTTTGAGGCCTCTTGGCAGGGCTTTGGGTTTTATTCTGCTTCTTGGGCCTCTGGGTTTCGTGCGGCGGTTGGAGGGCTTTGAGTTGGTTCGCGATGTAGAGTTTTATGGGGCTCCAGTAGGGCTGCCATACCCCTGCGATAGAGCGGTGCGGGGGGGTTGTTGTTGGACAACAACAACCTCCCCCCACTTGTGTGCAGACCTTTCGCACTTACATCATTTGGAGAACAACAACCCCTTATTGTTGTCCCCCCCGTGTGCTTAGACTAGCAACCCCGCACCCCCCCCCCTCCCCTATCTTTGTTCCCCTCCCGCCCTTCGTTCTTCGAACCCCCCCCGGCTGTTACAACAACCCCCGCTGCTGTTGTTGGAGTTGTCCTTCCCCACAGCAACCCCCCCCCCAGCCCTCCTTATCGAAGGGGTCTCAGACTGCCGCTGTCATGGCTTTGGCACCAGGGACTTACAGGGAACTCCAGAAAGTTGGAATATGGTTTCATGGTAGGATACCATATACTTTACCATAGAAGGGTTAGGACAATCATATTCCAACTTTCTGGCTTTTACCTTATAGGTTTGTTGTTGTAAGGTGTCAGGAGTTGCTCCGACCTCCCTGCAGAAGTCGAGATGCAATGACTTGCTTTAGTTGCAATGACTTGCTTTGGTTTTGAGGGTTGGGTGGAGGGGCCCAGAGCTACAGTAAATGACCACCCAGAGCCTCCGAAACCCCTTAATTAAGGAATATACCTTAAATCATATTATGGATCCTACTATGTCTTAAGGTATATTCCTGAATTAAGGGGTTTTGGAGCCTCTGGGCAGGGGCTTGGTCGTTGTCGTGCAGCTTTAGGGCCCTAGGCCCTAAACCTTAATTCAAAGGGTAAAAGGAGGGACCCTTAAGGGGGACCCCTACCCTATAATCGGCTATATAATGGCTATATTAAGGGTATATACCTAGGGGTCCTTATCAAGGGTCCCTCCTTTTACCCTTGGATCAACCTTAATAGTTAAGACGGTTTCCCTCGTCATGTCGGGCTCTGGGTTTAAACGACTCTACGGAATGCTTCTCCTTGCTACCCTGCGAACCATGAAACAGGCTACACCGTGGACTGCGAGGAGCTTTGCCAGGCACCTCGACTCTCAGGTAGTCAGGAGCTACAAGTTCAGACTTTAGGGATTTTAGAGCTCGGGTACAGGGTTCTAGGGATTTTAGAGCTCGGGTTCAGGGTTCTAGGGATTTTAGAGCTAGGGTTTAGGGTTCTAGGGATTTTAGAGCTCGGGTACAGGGTTCTAGGGATTTTAGAGCTAGGGTTTAGGGTTCTAGGGATTTTAGAGCTAGGGTTTAGGGTTCTAGGTTTGGGAAATCAAAAGTGGAACCCAATGCACTCAAGCTGACGGATGTTCACTTGGTGCTTCGTGCTCTTGGTGGGTGGGATTCCTGAAGGGTTTAGGGTTTTGGGTTTTGGGTTTAGGGTTTTGGGTTTAGGGTTTAGGGGTTTAGGGTTTAGGGTTTAGGGGTTTAGGGTTTAGGGTTTAGGGTTTAGGGGTTTAGGGGTTTAGGGTTTAGGGGTTTAGGGTCCCAACACTTGCCCCTTGAGTTTGTATCGGTTTATGGCTTAGGGTTGTCTTAGCCATGACCCTAAACCTAATAGCGCGACCCGAAGCCCTGCGCCCTACCTGTGCTTCAAGCTGCCCGTACTGTTTTAAGGATTTGTGGCAGGAACCCTAAAAAATCTGGTTCATTAGGGTCCAGGTAATTATGTCTGATTTATACACTCCAAGTCCGGGGGACCTGTGGAAGTCCGACAACTTATTTAGGAATCCTCTCGAACTCCAAGCCCTACCTCGACCCCCCAAAGTAGGCAAACAAAAAGTCCATCACTTCTAGAAGGCTGTTGTTCTGCATACTTTTAGGGTCCGGGGTAAACCCTTAGCCCTATACGGTGGATAAACGGCTGGTGGAAACAGCTGTTGCAGTATATTCTTTGTTATAATATCCCAAGCCCCAAACCTGCACCCTAAACCCCATTCTTTTTGCTATGGATGAGGCAGGGTGTTGTCCATAAGCAGAAACTCTCTGAAACAGGAGGTTCTTGAATTCACATGTGTGTTTAGTCTTTGCTCGTGGCTTAGATGTGCTGCCTATGCTTGCGAGACACCTCCCACGTCACTCCTATTCAGTTCATTGTTCTGACCCCAATGGGTCCAAGGGACCGAACAATTAGGTACCTGGGCTTAGGATAAAAATTATGTGGGTTACCGTTTCGGAGAGTATATGAAAATTAGGTGCTTGGGCACCTAGGGTGAGTTCTGTGATATTGGATTTAAAGTTTACACGCCAGGTCCACAACAGTCGAGCTCACGAATCGCTGTCTTCGTTATTTCAACTAGGATGCCCTGTAGTACTCTTATTCCCTTTTTTGTAGTCTTAGGTTCCTTGTAAAGTTACCCAATACCACAAAGGGAGCCTTTTTTTTCCTAGGTTATTGGGCATCCTAGTCAATAGATTGATCGAGTTCCAGGGCCTGCAGCATAGATTCCCCGAACTCTCTCTGCATGTATGTAATGTATTGCGATTTAGCCTATCCGGATCTGTGGAAGAATCGGGGCCCCTCAAACCATTGACGGTCGGACTGGCTGGATATCGCTTAAACCCTAAAGCCTTAACCCTACAATCCCTTAAACCCTATAAACCCTAAAGCCTTGTGAACCCGAACCCTTTTGGTACCGTGTGTGGGTCAGATTTCTGTCCAGGCGATGCTGTCGAGCTCGGTCACGGTGCTCCACCAGGCATTTGCAGGGTTCGCCTAAGTCCATGAACCCCTACCTGGACTCTAAGAAACTTTTCTTCGACTTCCGTAATCTGAAATTTATGAATCCTTCAAGAGGTAGGTTGTTCGGCGTGAGGGTAATCCCTGTGTAACTTCCAAACCCTACACCCGAAACCCCTGACCAGAAAACCCCTAAACCCGTAAGCCCCAGTTTGGGCAGGGTTTAGGGTGGTTTTGGATTCAGTGTTTAAGTTCACGGTTTGAGGGGTTCGGTTTTGGGGATTGCTTTAGAGTTTGTGGTGTAGGGTCTCAGTAACGGAAGGGGTATCGTGGCTTCCTGGCTTCTATTATGTTGAGAACACGCGAGGAAGAATATCAGATATCCCGAACCTAGAAGGTACCATCAAGTGCCCTCCATTTTTTTGCTGGGGGTTGGCTTGAGGCCGTCTGCATATACCGTCTTTGAGGGTTGGTGTTGCCCAAATGCATTTCTACTCCTCCCAGTAGGCCCTTTTTCGCTTTCTGTAGTATTAGGTCCCTTATTTACACTTCCCTATACCAAAAAGGGAGCCGTTTTTGTTCCTGGGTTACTGGGCATCCTGGGTTTAAATCAGATATTCAGCTCGGGCTAAGGGAAGTGATCTCTTCTCTGGCTTCCAGTTCGGCGGTCTGCGCTTCAGGGCGTGTAGTGTAAGCCAGTATACGTAAGGTTTAGGGTCTACCTCAGCCCCCCAAGTAGGTAAAACAACGGCCCAATACTTATAGAAGGCTACTGTTCTACATACTGTCAGTTAGGGTCCAGGTAGGGCTTCTAGTAATTACCTGTATCCGCAAGCCCTACAAAACAGCAGGTTATGACCCCTTGGTTATAGGGTATAACCCTTAAGCCGGTAGGTTTCCGGATCCACTTGTATAGTCGTATTGTAGCGTTTAGAGAGCTGGGTCAACCGAGATGATGCTCATATGTATCGGACGCTTGTTGGATGCCAGAATAGGATCTACAAGGGCTACTATAAGGGATCTTTAAGAATACGGGTACTCTAATGCCCAGAGGCTCCATGTACCTTCATAGTGGATACTTTGGCCTTAAAGGCGTCCCTATATAGGTACTTGAAGGCTTAAGTATATACTGTATGTGTACATGGAGCCTTTGGGATGTAGGGGCCTGAATCAATAAGATAGGGTTTGGGGGCCAGGACGAAGAATCGTATGGCTAGAAGATTTGCACTCGATACAAACGAGCACACGACCTAAGATATAGGATCCTCACTACGGGGATCCTTACAGCCACAAGTCTTATGACATGAAGGCTGAAATAAGTACCAACATTCTTCCTCAGAGTTGATTTAATCAGAAGAAAAATGCTCAAACTTCTATTCCAACGATTGAGGCCTCTATACATTTCATGCTTCTGAGGCCCTCATGAAGCCGAAACCTCCGCAATCCTTTGTCTGTTCAGGAACTGCCGCGCCAACTTGGAACGGCTTGTGTCAGCGGGGACTGCTCCGAGGTCACCCCCTCAACATGCGAGACGGCTGTACTGGGCTTCATCCGAGCTTCATACTGTGTTACAGGGGTTGCATGTGGGAACGATTGTGTAGTGTTTTATCGGTTTAGGGCTTTCGGGTTTATATGGACTTTATGTTGACGGTTTGGGACGCTTACGCTATACGAGGCAGAGCGACAGGGTTCATGCTAATTAAAGATGTAGTGACTGTTACGGGTCTTATAGGATCTAAGAATATGATTCCCCCATGTGCTCACAATCCTTACATGCTTATAGCAGTGTCTATGCCCCAAACCCCATGATGCTCCGCCTTCTGCATATAAGATCGCAAACCCAAGTAGGCCTTCGAAATGAAGACCGCGTTTGCTAGAGTAAGGAAGCAGAGAAAGGCGCCCTGCCTGGGTCCATGTAACCGCTATAATATACTTTGGCTTTAAAAGTAGCAAACGAGTGTCAGTCTGTCGAGCTTCGGTTGCGGTTTGCGCGCTTTTGGGCCGTTCGTCTGGAGGGTTTTACATGTGACTTGTTGCAGTTGTGGGCTCAACGCAAACGTGTTCCTTTAAACCTCACTTGGACATGGTTATGGCTCGTACCCTTAAGTACGACGCCCTGGCACGAAAGCCGAGTCTCATCTTAAGCTTCTGTCGGGGTTTAGGGTTTCGGGTGGCCCCTCTTAGGGTTTCGGTCGTTTGTTTCGTCATGGCAAAGCCGCCGGTCATGGACATCTGGCTCGCCCTGCAGCGCATGTCGATGCTTGGCGAGGACACTTCCCAAGACCCTGTTCTAGTTGTAAAGATCCCTACATGAAACTCGTTCTGGCTTCTGAGTCTTCGGGACCTACCAATTTAGGGCTGTATGATTTCGGTGTCCGTGGGTGGTTCAAGCTTTTGGGTTTTTGATGCGAAGCTCAAGCTAAAGATGCAACTATAGCTGTAGTTGCCGTCGAACGCGTTGTGCCACTGCTACTTACGAATTTTCCGGTTTGACTTTCAGTAGATCGCTACATTGAGTCATTCGTGTTCTGTAGTTGAGAGATATGTCTTGCCTCATTCCAACAGGATGAGAAAGGATTTAGGGTTGGGGGGTTAGCCACCTACGCCCTAAACCCGAAGACCAAACTGTCTGCGCCCCAAAACTGAGGTATCCGGACAAGGACGCGGTATGGAAACATATGAAGGTGGTTGGCCACAAGCGAGAACGAAGGTTTCCTGGCTACTCATTCCTTCCCAGAGGAGGTCTGTCGTCTCCTTATGTTCGGTTCCTTACGGATGCAGATCTCATCTTCAACACTACATCATCTGGCAATGTGGATCCCGAGGACGTGTCTCAGCACCTTTGTAGGGCTTCGGAACATAATTCGTAGCCGGAGCCTTTGGATCCTGGACGCTGTCGAGGATTTCCACGCCTTGCACCAGCTGGCAGTCGAACTTTTTCGCGGCGAGGCCAATCTGCACAGCGCTCGCATCGTTTCCGATGGTGAGGAGCTCTTTGACGAGGACATCCTCTCTGCAGCAGACATGGCCCAAGTTTTTACCTTCGTCCGACAAGGCTGCGACGTGGCGACTTTGACAGGCACAGGGAAATAGGTCCCAAGAGAACTGGATCGGGAAATATCAGGCCAACCCGAAGATGTTAAGATAGAGCGTAGGGGTGCAAAGAACTATAACCCCAGAGCCCTAAGAAGAGCACGAAGCACAGCCCAAAGGGTCCGAGGTGCTGCTGCGGCGGGGGTACTTTCCCAAATAGCAAAAGTAATTCCCAACTTTTTAACATAGGAGCCCCAGAAAAAGGAACCCGTACCCTAAACCCCTCAACGCCCAAACCCCAAACCCTAAACCTTAAAACCCTAAACCCGAAACCTAGGATTTTTCGGGCAGGCAGTTACCGTCTGCCGAGTGGCTGGCACGTGCCCGTTGATCTGACTCTCCAAAGAGGCGACAAGGACACTTCCCCTAAGGGTCCATGTACCGACATAGGGATCCTTTAAGGATTCCTGTGAGGGCGACTATAAGGGTTCTATGAGTATTAAGGGTACCATGTACCCAAGTAGTATACGCATTGGCGTTAGAGTAGTCCCTATATAGGTACTTCGGGGCCATAGTATGTACTATTTGGGTACATGAACCTTTGAGTTCGTTTCTGAGTTTGTTGGCTCTGGCCTACAGAGCCTGCAAAACTCAGGCGATTACACATTGTAAACCGAAAATGGGTTGTGTAGTAAGAATATGCCTTAAGACAGAAAGATAAGAACAAAAACTGCCTTTGGCATATATGACCTGGACAGCTTGAGGACATGTCCAAGGCCACAAGGCTCGATCGGATCCTTCTGAACATCGAGGATCTTAATTTTGCCAAGGTCGTCTCGAGAGTTCGACGCTCTGCTGCATTGTACCATAATATGGGGGGGGGGGGGCAAATTAAATGGAATGGGGTTTCAGGGCCCATTATGCTGTACTTTATAATAAGGAACCCCAAAACACTATGGGTAAGTAATTATTCAGCCCCCATATTAGACGGTGTGTACATTTTGACCGAAAGGGACAAGGCAACATGTTTTTTTGTGGGCGAGGCTGTAAAGTAAATGTAATAGCTGTCTGTGTACAGAGTAATATATGGGCCCATTAAATAATTACCAATACTATCGGGGGATTCCTTATTCTAATTCAAGTATAATGGGCCCCAAAACGCTATTCTAATTATTAAGGCTCCTGCATTAGGTGTCTCTCTTTCGTCTGTCCTTGCAGGGCTTAGGTTTGTCCTCGCAGTTCAGCGTACCGGTTCTGGTTTATTTGAACCACTGCCATGGGAAACCCCAACCTCTACAGTAGAAGCCAGAAAGTTGGAACATGGAGTTAGGATGATTAGTGCTAGGATCCCTTATGCTTTACCTTAAGGGCATGGGGATAGTGATGTTCCAACTTTCTGGCTTCTACTATATTGGGGTTTAGGGTTTAGGGAAACCCTAAACCCTAAACTCCTAAACCCCTAAACCCTAAACCCTAAACCCCAAAGGCTCCGGACCATCAACAGAGTGAGACCGCTGACCCCCACCAAAGACCAACTTACAGCCAAGGCTACAATCGGCTAGATCTCTTGCACATATATACATATGTACACACATATACACATATACATACATGCATCCATACATAATTACGTACATACATACATACATATTTAACAGTGCATCCTGCCTTTTGCTGGGCTGTAGCGTCAGAATCATGTGTTAATTGTGTCTTCGGTTTTCCTTGGACTGAGGTTTGCAAATAGTGTTGAATCTTCGGTTTGAATACTTTCAAGTATATTGTGAGTGCTTGCGACATTAAGCTTCAAACAAATCAGAGGACCGAGGGAAATCAAATACCATCTCCAAATCGGACAACCTGGGGGACTAAACGAAACAAGCAATCAAGCCTGGGAAAACAACAAAACTCAATCAAGCACACATCAAAGACCGGTCAACTTTTTGCTTTAACCTACAGGGGTACTCAAACAAACTCCAAAAAGCAGAACAACCTAGGAAAGTCACAGCAAGCTTACAATCAATCGGCAAATCAAGTCAAGCAGACGCCCCCAAGGGCAAAATCTTGGCGAGGTCAATAACAACAAGAAGTCCAGAAGGCATAGTGGCATCACGAACTTCTTCTAAAAAAGCAAACAACCTACGCAGGGCTAACGAACTCTGAAATCCCAAATCAGCCGAACCTCCTTCCATGATATGTGTACGCACTCATAAAATACCGGAAATTCAGGGCGATAACACATGACAAACACAAATGTTTAACAATTGACTCCCAAGATATACCGGCCGCGGCAAATCTGAAACATAGCAAGTTCCTAACTAATTACCGGATATATTTACAACGGGAGTGTTTTACAATGCTTGTTTTAAACTACCCCCGAGCCAGCGAACAAGCACCCAGCGACAACGGTCAGGAAGGATTTTGAAGCCCGCTGGCAAAGCTCGGCTGTCGGATGCTTGGAATCGCCAGGGCGGCGCCCTTCGTTTTCTTGTGACGCAGCTGGGCCTTGCGAGCCGCATGCCACTCCAGGAGCAGCAACCGTACTTGCCTCTTGCAAGTCGCTGGGTAGTAGCCTTTTGGTTTTCGGATTTTTTCTACATTCATAACACACCGAAAGGCTTGCACACTTTTTGGTCGGGGGGCTTTGGATTTCGAGTTTCAGTTTGCCGTCGTGGCATGGTCATCTTTTCCAACCTAGTAAATTTTGGAGCCCTACATTCTGCTGTGCATTTACTTTGGACCCTTTCGGTATAAAGCAAGTGCTACAGCCCTTCGCTCTAGACCAATTGCAGCCCCTCGAAAAGCCGTTTCAAGCTGCGTACAACCCCATGACAGCTTACAATAATACCACAATCCTGAACCCTACCTGTGCTCCCCAAACCACACCTTGTTAGGACGTATATATAGAAACATGACTCAGGAACCCCAAAAAGGTAAGGTTTTTCTGCGCGTAAGCCTATGAAACCAACAATGTTTAGCCGAGGAGTTTCCTACAGCTGCGCCCCGGCTTCACACCGGAGGCATGGAAACATGCCGCGGAGATCGACGCCAGTCCTTTGAGGGTTTCCATGTACTTAGGGTTTAGGGTTTAAGGTTTAGGGTTTAGGGTTTCGGGTTCAGGGATAAGTTTAACCCTTGCCTCATGAGCTCGAATCCCGCGACTCGCTGAAACCTCGTTTTGCACTTGCGCTCTGTCGCTGTCCTGAAGCGGCCCGGAACTTAAAAATCCCAAAGGGTCCCATGTACCGATATAGTAGAATGTAGGGTTTCCATATTAGGCAGTACTACTATGACCTAGGGAAGTATCCCCCATAACAGTACATAGGACCCTTTGGGAATGCAAACTTAAATGTCCCAACGCCCTCTACCCATAGGCTCCATAGTAGTTCCTTTTTGGGGCTCATGTTTGAATACTATAATGTAATCCCAAAAAGGAACTACTATGGGGCCTACCTGTAGCCGGAAAGACCTAACTTTCTAGGGTTCCTTATTCTGGTTTCTATATATAGTTCCTTAAGAAGGTAGGTCTTTTCGGCTACAGGTATGGGTAGTGCTTGGGTCATGGAGGATCCCTTACTCTTTTTCCCTGAACCTGCACTCCGCCGAAGCTTGTCTCCAAGGGCAAAACGAGAGACCCTTAGTAAGGACCCCTAGGTATATACCCTTAATTATAGAGCCATTATATACCCATTACATAGCCCATTATAGGGTAGGGGTCCCCATGAAGGGTCCCTCCTTTTCCCCTTTGATTGTCGGACTCCAGACCCCAGGGCGAAAGACAGATCCGAAGCTTGAGCTTAGTAGCTGAGTCGGCAACCTCTAACCTTTTGGAGCTTATGTAATCCTACCATTATCCCAAAGGGTCCAAAGTACCAATATATTGGGAATCAGCTATTATGACTTGGGGAAGTAGTCCCCATAGCAGTACCTAGGACGCTTTGGGTATTGAAAAGGGCTACGGCTAAGGTACTTAGCCCCTAAGTAGCACGAAATCATAGTCGAGCCTTGAACCATCGATCCTCAACGGCCTCGAAACCGGCAAGGGCGCGAGGATCAGAATCCTAATATAGCGGCCTTGATAAAATCACCTATACTACTGTTTGTTTGGGGGGAGGGTTCCTTATCAAACTTATCATAATTAATAATTATAGTGTTATATATCCCCCAAACCCTATTCTTAGTATTAAGGCCCTATATTAAACCCGAGATTCTAGAAACCCAAAGGCACCACTCTTATGCAAATGGCAGTGTGGCCGCTTTTGGGGTTCTGGGGTAGGGGAGTCGGAGGTTCAGGGTGCGCAAAAATCGCAAAAATCCGCTCCCGATCAGCGACTCCCTAGCCCTGTAGTAAGAGTAACTTGCTTGTGCCAGTTCCATAGAAGCTTTCAGATTATTTCACGTGCTACATACATACATATATACATACATACATACGTACATGTTTGTATGTATAAAAACACGTTATATATATATATATATATATGTATATATATATGTATATATAGTCATGGCGTTCTTCTGGTTGGCTTTTAGGACTTTAACATCTTTTTGGGTTTCTTTATGAAGTATGATGGGGAGGCTAAAAGTTTAACTTTTAGGAGGGGTTCAGAAGTCAGGCAAGTGTATATGTGTTTTAAATCCCGAAACCACCAGTGAACATGCATCCGAGGAAATGCAACACCGAGCGCTCGACGTTATCGATGAATGCAGAGGTGTCCTTAGTAACGCCTTTGCCGATCGTGCAGGCTCGTTTTGCTTTGTCCTAGTTTACAATTCGTCTTTTTGCGGGTCAACTTTTTGTTTAGGGTGTGCAGAGCGTCCCGTGCTTTACTTTCACGTGCCACTCAAGCATTCAAACACTCGAACACGGACATGCCCACGGCGCATGCAACATTGGAACCGACACTCACCGTCACTCAGCTGGAATCTAAGCAAATTTCGAATCATCCATGAGCTGCCACACCTCATAAGACCTTCTAGAAACCTGCTTCCATGTTCCCTCGATCCTTCGTGCGAGCAGTTCGATCCTCAGTTAACCCTGAACGAATCGCTGTCAAGCCCGACATGGCAACGCAACCCTTAGGGCTCCACCTACCAAAACAAAAGCCCACTACCAGATCACATTGTGATTTCGTATGTGGTAGCAGACCTGGCGTTTGGACCCAGTGACCCATCAACCTGGGCACCAAGAAAGACGGTTCGACAGCCATCAGTCCCAAACTTGGACCCTTTGGGAGTTCAACCCCCAGGAGAGATTTGGGACGCACTGGAAAGCAAATCCCAAATCTTCCTATCGACGGCTGGTGGCTCGCAGTTGGAGGGCCTTTCCCTTGACGAGCTGTATTTTGAAAGGCTCCGGCAGCTGCATCGGTAGTTCTTCGGGTTTGGGGCTTCGTGGTTTAGGGTATAATTTGTCAGCTGCATGACGAGCATTGGTGTAGGATGTAACATTGTGTGGGTAGGGCTTGTACTTTGCAGTGCAGTGCAGTTTAGGATCTTAGAACTCATGAACAACAGACTATGGATGCTGATACTCAGTGCAGTTCTTAGAGCGTTTGTTTGTTCCTCGCCGGAGGTATGACACCAAAGGTCGCGAAGACAAGGGCAGTGGTACTGGCAAGGGCACTGATGGCAGACACCCAATGGATTCTAGAGGTGCTCCTTCGAGGGGCAGCGGCAAGACGGGAGATAGACATGGTGGCAAAGGCAGAAGCCATGGCAAGGATGGCGCTGGCGGATGTCCTGCCCGTGTCAACGCTGTCCCTGCCAAAGGCTACGGCAAGAAAGGCAACGGACATGCTGGCAAGAAAGGCAAGTTGTAGATATCGCTTTCCATCCGGTTGAAAGTCAGCATCTGGACCGGGGAACCGGAAAGAGATGCCGGATATTTTGTTTGTCGGTGCCATGCTGCGGAGTAAAACAGACCTAAACTTCATATCGACCATTGTGGGAGACTCGCTGGCAGCACCTCCGCATGCTAAACGGAAAGCATGTGATTGTAGATCCTAGTGGGCAGGCGGCGTTGTTAAGATTCAGGGGCTCTCATTCGGCACGCTCGTGCTGAACCGAAGTCACCCGTACCTGTGAAGTCATATCAGGATCCCTTTAACGTTCAGGGTTTAGGGTTCCCTAAGCGTGTTTATTTCCAAGCTTCCAAGCCCAAATATTGAACCGATTCAGCCCAGAGCCAAAGCCTGAACCCCAAAACAGTTTAAGGTAATTGCCAGAAAGTTGGAATATCATTATCGTAACCTCTTTAAGGTAAATTATAGGGGATCCTACCATGAAACCATATTCCAACTTTCTGGAGTTCCCTGTAGGGTCAAAAACCCCAAGCCCTCCGTTCGCCCCCTCCGCTGCACCACAAGTCCTGTTTGCAGGTCGTGGAGCTTTCTCAGTCAGAGATCTTGGAGCAGTTTACCCAGCGATTTCGGGTTGAGTGTTAAGGGGATTTGTAGGGAGTTAAGCCAAAGAAGCCTTGCATGTGGTTTGCAGGGTATGGTTGTGAGGGGTTCGGGCTTACTAAATTATGGAAGGTGCAGCGGCTAATGTTTCGTGTTGAGGATTCAGGGAGGTAAGGGCTCGACCAATCCTTTCTGTGTCCACCTCCTCAACGGCCGTAAACCCCAAAAGCCCCACGGAGAATCGGCAGCTGTGTTCCTAAGTCACCTCAAGCAGGATCGCGTTCGTTCATATGGGTAGTTCTCTAGATTGCGGATTGGGGTCTCGCATCTTCTCACGAACCCGAACAGGGACCCATAGTTCGCAGAACCCGCCCATATGTGTCAAATCACGCACAAGGATTCGGTGCGGATTGTATCTCACTGTGCGCCTGCTCTGACATCCGGTGGGCCACCCACAAGCTTGCACTGAGAGAGAAGTAATGCTTCTAATACTGAAGGAGCATTCCGTGAGTCAGAGTCCCGAAACCCGTAGCCAAAGGACAGCGGAATACTGTGGCCCATTCCTCAGGGACGACTTGGTCAGCACCGGGGCGCTGAGTACAGTCGAGGCCAGTCTGCCAGTGAGTGTGCGTTTTTGTTCGTTGTCTTGGTTGGTGCAGAGCCCAGAAAATCATATAACCGAGTAGGTAACCTTTAACTTTTGTTGGGTATTATAGTCCCAATGTAATGCCTATATGACCAAAAAGATTAGCCTTTAGTTCCCCTTTATACCCGACAAGTAGGAAACCCTGTGGTTTTCTGTTTGGTAATTCCCTAAGGGTCCATGTACCTAAATAGTATATACATTGGCCTTAAAGTACTCCCTATATGGGTACATTGGGCCCAAAGTATATACTATTTGGGCACATGGACCCTCAGGGATTTGGGAATCGAAGTTTGGTTGCCCACTCGACTCTGAAAGTCATCTTCCCACTGCACGGGCTCCTTGAATGTGTGTGTGTGTGTGTGTGTCCACCCCTGTTTCGAAGGGTAGGCAAATCTGAGTCGAATGAGCAGGGGGACGGAGGGGGTGCAGGGGAGCTCCGTCCAACGAAGCTCTCCCCTACACCCTAGGAAAACGTACCTGCTTTGCCTGCGCCTGGGCCCCGTCGTGGGCAGCTAGCGAGGCACTCTTGCCAGTCAAAGTTCTAGTTGCTGCCATGTTGATGAGCCTGGAGACCCCATGCTAGTCATGTTTGAAGGTTCTGACTTCTCCTGACTTATGCTGACTTCACAGACCTGCGACACATTGTGTCAAGTGTGATTCACAACGGCATTCCCTATGGGCGCCGTGTCTCCCAGAGGTAGCTCTGGCGGCTGACTTTCCCGATTGATTCTATAAGCATCGGATGACTTTCTCTGACTTTATATCCATGCTTGCAAGCTGACTTTCCCAGTGAATTCACCGACGTTTTCACCGAAACCTGAAAGCTGACTTCACCATTGACTTCTTTATTATGACAGTGACTTCACCGAGCTGACTTTCCCACTGACTTGTCGCAGGTCTTCGGCTGGAAGCGAAGTAGGAAAGCTGTGCGTTTGATAGTTACTGAGTATCCTGCTTTGCGTGTAGCAAGTGATCAGCCTGGTCCTTCTGTAGTTCATCAAAACCGTCAGCAAGTTCTGCAGCAAGACGTGCCGCCAGCAATCACGCTTCATGCGGATGGCACAGGTTTTAAGTTGTCATTTCGATCAGTGGCCGATTTTGCTGAATATTCAGCAATCATGTCGGCAAACTTGACTCATGTTCGAGGTCATAGGGACGTCTGTGCTGGCCTGAACAACTTGCTTGACATACAGCAGACTGTTGCAGAGCTTGTGTTTGTCCACCCCTGTTTCCAAGTTTCAAAGGGTAGGCAAATCTGAGTCGAACGAGCAGGGGTCTGTACGGCTGGAGTGATTGGTTTAGTACATGTGTTTACTTGCTTGTGCGACTCGTAGACTGCAGTTTTCGCCACATGAGTGCGGTTTGCATATGTTGGAATGCGTAGACTCTGCAGTTTCGTGACATGAGTGCGGTTTGTATATGTTGGAATGCGTAGACTCTGCAGTTTCGTGACATGAGTGCGGCTCGCCAATGTTGGAATGCGTAGACTTCAGTTTCGTGTCATCAGTGCGGTATGCCTATATTGGAATGCGTTGACTCTGCAGTTTCGTGACACATGAGTGCGGTTCGCCGATGTTGGAATGCGTAGACTCTGCAGTTTCGTGACATGAGTGCAGTTCGCTGATGTTGGAATGCGTAGATTTTGCAGTTTCGTGACATGAGTGCGGTTCGCCGATGTTGGAATGCGTAGACTCTGCAGATTTGTGACATGAGTGTAGTTTGCCCATGTTGGAATGCGTAGACTCTCTGACATGAGTGTGGTTCGCCTATGTTGGAATGCGTGGACTCTGCAGTTTCGTAGACTTTCTGCTTTGAGACGCTGCTGTCAATAAGTCCGGAAGGGCGTGTGTGTGTCAACCGGTGTTTCGAACGGCTACAATGAGCCCGGCAGAGCTTGTGTGTGTCCACCCCGGTTTCAAAGTTTCAAAGGGTCGGCAAATCTGAGTCGAACGAGCAGGGGTCTGTACGGCTGGAGTGATTGGTTTAGTACATGTGTTTGCTTGCTTGTGCGACTCGTAGACTGCAGTTTTCGCGACATGAGTGCGGTTTGCATATGTTGGAATGCGTAGACTCTGCAGTTTTGTGACATGAGTGCGGTTTGTATATGTTGGAATGCGTAGACTCTGCAGTTTCGTGACATGAGTGCGGCTCGCCAATGTTGGAATGCGTGTGCTTCAGTTTCGTGTCATCAGTGCGGTATGCCTATGTTGGAATGCGTAAACTCTGGAGTTTAGTGACACATGAGTGCGGTTCGCTGATGTTGGAATGCGTAGACTCTGCAGTTTCGTGACATGAGTGCGGTTCGCTGATGTTGGAATGCGTAGATTTTGCAGTTTCGTGACATGAGTGCGGTTCGCCGATGTTGGAATGCGTAGACTCTGCAGATTTGTGACATGAGTGCGGTTTGCCTATGTTGGAATGCGTAGACTCTCTGACATGAGTGTGGTTCGCCTATGTTGGAATGCGTAGACTCTGCAGTTTCGTAGACTTTCTGCTCTGAGACGCTGCTGTCAATAAGTCCGGAAGGGCGTGTGTATGTCAACCGGTGTTTCGTCAAAGGGTAGGCAAATCTGAGTCGAACGAGCAGGGATCTGTGCGGCTGGAGTAATTGGCTCAGTACATGTGTTTGCTTGCTTGTGCGACTCGTAGACTGCAGTTTCGCGACATGACTGCGGTTTGAGTACTGTGCAAGTGCAAGTTTGGCAAACGTTTTTCGTCTGTGGTGAATGCGTGCATGCCTACATGCGTTCGGAGTGCGCATCTCTCTGCTTTGCTGCATCGCAAGTGTTGTGCAAGTGCAAGAGTACGGCGTTTTGTCGTGTAGGAGTGAAGCTTCTGGAGCGAGCTGTGCCTCAGGGGTCGGAGGTTGAAGTTCTGTAGGTGCAAGTGACGTGCAAGTGACGTGCAAGGGACGTGCAAGTGATGTGCAAGGGAGGTGCAAGTGCCGTGCAAGTGACATGCAACAGTACAAGGTCCTATGTGTTTGCGAGAAGTTGTGCTGTGCAGACGGAGGTTTGTGCAAGCAAGGGACATGCAAGTGATGTGCGAGAGAAGGGCAATGGAAGTTTCTGACCCAACGCCTCCGGTTACCCAGAATTGGGGTAACCAGTTTGGTAACCCAGAATTCAGGTCACCAGACCCCAAGAACCAAGATAGCAGGAACCAGTTCCAAGCCCATTCCTTGACCAGTGCGAAATATGGACTTTAAACATGTCCATGTAGTTTCCTTGTAAATCGTGTGTGTTTGCATACATTTCAAAGAGATAACATGGCATGTGTTGACAATACTGGTGAGGTGGGTTTATTTTTTCGGAGAGTATATGTGGATTTTGTGTGTGTCTGGCTGTATTTATCTTATATTTCTTTGAATCTACATAGGTTTTTCGGGAGTTCATGTCTATTACATACATACATACATACATATGCACACACACATGCAATAATATATGCATGCATACATACATACCTACGTACATATACATACACACATATATAACGTACATGGATTGTTGGGCGGATGGAAGAACGATCGATGGATGGATTGGAATCTGAATAGGATGGATACAGCTTTACTGATTAGGCCAGGTATGTAATTCGGTTTATGGTGCTTGCATGCCCCGGCGATTCAGTTTCGACACCAGCTTGTATGTAGGCAGTGGATGCTAGGAGGACACGACAGCACATGCGACATTCCTGTTGCAGCTGGGCTAGCTGTACATATAGTCGTCGTGCAGCCCTTGTGAAAGTCGTGCGTGATGTAGTAATACGGTAG